ACAAATGCTTGTTTAATTTTCAGTTTAACAGGACATGTTTCTGTGGCACCTTTCCAACTCAAGGTTGCTGCACAAATGAATGCCACACGGATCTTGCTCAGTTTATGCGTTGCTTTTTTGACAGTGCTAATTTTGCTTTAATTAATGCTTTGGCAAAAGTCCTTGACATGACGTCGCTGAAATGGGCAGTTATCCGGGATGCCAGTGCCAACTGTCAAAGCAGTTGGCCAAAACTCTAACAGCATTTCTTTCCAGCCATCAGCAAAATTCTCAACTGTACTGCTTTTCCAATTTTCAGAGCCTAACTTTACATCTCCAAGATTGAGTGGGCAAGGTTTGTGGCTTAAGAATTACTGCAAAAGCACAGCCATAGGCCATGATGGCAAAGTCCGAGCTTGATGGATGATCGAGTGCATGATTTTTGCATATTACTTGTTTACAGAAACCTACATGTAGGTGTTTATTAGTGGCAACAAAATCCAATGCACGTGCAGTCTGTTTATGAACTTGGCATATCGAAGTTATAGAGTTGGTTACATAAGACAGAATTGTTCTGTGACCGTTGTATATGTACATCTCTCTCTGATAGTCTTTCTTCTAGATGTACAGGTAATTGGAGATGTATTTGATATAAGTAGAAGCAATAACTTGGAACTGACAGTGAACACGTACCAAGTGACATGCTGAGCATTTATGGCCTGTGCTGATGGCAAATCACTTGTTGATCAATGCCGCTACTTGCATAAGTGTATGCCGTATGGTTAAAATGCATGGCATTTATCATGCATGCCACACTGAGTTTGCTATCCAACTTTTTTTCTGTTTCGTCATTTGTCTTTCATTGTTAATGAACCCTAAAAGAATGCTAACTGACTGTAAAAGCAAGATCTTGAAAATTGATCTCGTTAAGATTTCTAAAATTGTTCAGTTATTGTGAAGCCATTCCTGTATTCCTGCAGAACTGGGAAGCTCTTGTTTTGGGCTAGACAACCCTCCGAGAATGAATTTCAAACTCCTCCCTTTGAGTGGGGAGTCCATTCATTTCTGGCACAGAATATTGGTTTTTGTTGCTCATAGAAATGACCGTCATTTTGTCTGGTTTTTTTTTGGGGGGGTAGGTCTTGGAGGAAGAAGGCATCTCACCCATCCACGACCGTGACCTGATCAGCACGGTGGAGCGTGAGCTAGCCGAGGCCTGCAACATGAGCCAGTCAGAGATGGATGCGGCCGCCCACAGACTGATCCAGGCCAACCAGCAAGGGGATACGTCCCTTCCTTACTTCGACCACCTCGGCGGCTACGAGCTGCAGGATTACACGCAGCGGTCCCGATCGCGTAAGCGTGGCCATTCGCGGGAGGGCGGTTTTCGGACAAACAGCAAGGGCACTAGCCAGGAGGAGGACGACTTGGAGAGCGAAAACACCGACAGTGAGAATGATGGCGAGGATGATCATGACGACGATGATGATGATGCCAAGCCCAAGGACTCCAGCGGAGACATGGTCTACGTAACAACTCTCTAGCAGGGGTGGGGATTTTTGAATTCCATGCGCTGCATGCCTGATGTAATATACTCATTTGAACAGTTCTCGAATCTGATGGATGTGAAGGAATGTGAGCAGTCCACGCATCCGATGGGATGGCCCTCACATCCAATGGATCGCCTTTTATAATGCAAATTTTTTTTTAAACATGAAGACTCGGAGAGTGTTGTTTTTGGCTGTCTAGAATTATGGAGGAGAGATGACTTCTTCACTCGCCACTACCTGCACATCTTCACGTCTACCTGCACGTCTTCTTGTGATTGACCATCCACGTCGGTGCGTACCGTCAAACACCATCTCTTGTTTTGATTTGTAATCTGAAAGAAGAACACAATGCGCCACTACGCATGCAGTATTAAAATCTGTTGAGCATTTCCTTGACTACTTCTGCTGTTTACTGAGTGACGGATTAAAGTCAAACAGATTCAACTTTCTCCCCGCTGTTCCTCCAGTCGTCATGGTTACTGCTTGTTAATCCTCCCCCCTCTCCACCAGCAACGAGGTATTTGATATCTCCAGCTTTCCCGTTCCAGGGACATGGCACCCTGCACAACCGAATGAGATAAGTTGACTAGGGGAATTATCCACCACATGGCATCTGCAGTACATTTTGAATTGTCAAATCTCTACTCAATTGCTTGGGTTTTCATTATCATGAGTGCTGTGTGGTTTCAGCCCAACACAAGAAATGGATCTCGCCTGATGATGTCTTCTCTGCAAAAGGGTTCCTGTCTTGTAATGACCAGGGACACTGGCTTATTGTCAAAAAGTTGTTAATTTGAACTTGTAGCATGTTAGCACGTAAGAGTCAGGTACATTCCCCCACCTTTTTTCCACTAGAGGGATGGGATGTAGGGGGAGTGTGACATGACCCATCTGCTTTTTGTCAATGAGACTTTCAAGCAGTCTCCAAGAGAAAAACGTTTCCCAGTTTTGGGACAGTGTATCTCTTTTTTCTGGCCAGGGTCGTCATATGGCAATTTCATACCCTCCCCCTTCATTTAAGCTTGTCTAGCCATACCTCTGACTTCTTCTGACAAAACCAATTAAAAAGTAGTGTTCACCACCTGAACATGTGAGTCAGTGACTCAGTTTGGATCAAGCCCACCCCTGACAGCATCACCAACACCACCATCACCACTTCCACAGGTGTTGTACCCCAGAGATCAATCGCTTTCCTCTCTAGTACTGTCATTGCAGTTTGATGAGAATGACTGACTCTGATCATGTATGGCACTCTAGCCTGTATCAGGCTTGTCCACAGTGGATGAACTGTTCTTGAATTTATCATGGGGGGGGCAGTAACCTTTCCTGCTTTCAGTTAGTAGAGCTAATCAAAAGTATGTTCCAAACTCTGATGGTTTCAGTTGGAATGTTATGCTTAAATTACACACTGGTGCCTGCATGCCGTGTTCATTCTACATTTTGGGGGGGGGGGAACTATACAGGAACTGTGACGATTTTTCTATGTGAAGAGCGAGGTATTTTTTTCACTATGATAACTGTAGCTGTACTTCTTCATATATCTACTACTCCCTGTTGATACAATAACAGTAGAGGGCTCCCTCTGGTGGGTGTTACCATGGAAACGGCACCATCTTGCATCCTGGCCCTTCTGGTTTTGCACAGCTGGAAGAGATGGCAGTGTAGGGGATGTGAATTTGTCTGACCACAGCCATCTTTTCAGTTTCAAATTTTGGGGTTTTGATCTGTCTGTAGCGTACTAAAGTTGTAAGGGTGCCCTGTATTCTACAGCTGAGTTATGGACATGCAGTCTGTTTATGGCACGGCGGACCCGGCAACAGCGTCATGGTTACTGCGTAAGCAGTGGTAGCAGCTACACACACAACGGTAATGGGCGACAGGGCCTGGTGTCACATAGAATATTGCAGAAGCACTGTGCTGAACATAGGTCTGTATTATTATATGAGAGTCAGCGCGCTACAGTGTGCATGGAGGTTTTTGTTGTCTTTCTTTTTATAACACGTTACCTCAGAAGCCGTATGCCTGCTGTATATTAGGAGGAGTATAGTACTATTCAACAGAGATATCCTGTGCTTTGCAGCTCTGTGGCTTTGGGCCCAACCAATTCATGTACTTGACATTGAGAGATATAACAATTACATCAAGTGTCGTAGTCCTTTAGTGCTTCCTTAAGATCAAGTATACAGTAAACGTCTTCAGGATCTTCTCAAGAAGTACTCTGTGTTGAGCCACATGCATCAAACCCGTCACCAAGCCACATCCGAGTCCAGTTGTTATGGCTGTGGCTTCGTCTCATCACCATATGTTGTGTCGGTATTGACAAATAAGGTATCGGTCAACTTTTTTTTTTCCCCCGACTGGTTCTTTGTAGTTGAGGCTTCTGGCAGTGTGTTTTCTGTCATCAATTTCATGTAGAATCAGCAATAACTAGAAATCTTTGGAGCTGATGTTACCCGAGTAAGTAAATTTGTGTTGAAGTGTCCCCCTTGCACATTAGGTTTGAATAGCTCGGCTTTGTTATCTGAAATTCTTTTCATCCATACAATACCCACCCGCTTTCATACTGAATTAGTAATGAATTTGTTTCCTAGACAACTCATCTTGATGTGTCTTTGGTGGGGATGCTGCAGTGTTGACTTTGTCCCAGAATCTAGTGACTGAAAGTGACGCTGAACCTGTCTCCACATTCATGTGCAGTTATTGTCCACCGTCAATCCGCCGCTTTCATCCTGTTCTTTGTTCGTTCCCAGCTGCCTTGATCAAGTCAACCAACCCGTTGTGTTCTCACCCGATTGCTGCCAAAGCCAAACATGATTGAAAAAGATGGGTTGAATGGAGTTCCAAAACCTGTCTGGAAATTCATTTCAATAATTTTCAAGCTCACGAATTCAGTGTCCCTCACCCAAAGAGAAAATATCGATCTTCCAAGATCTCAAATATCAATATCTTATTACAGTAAGCGGTGAATTTTTGTGAGAGGTTGACGTTTCTTTATTATAGGCTTGGAAATGTGCACGTCTTTGTTGTTTTTTTGTGCTTGCTTATATCAGGTGTTTTTGCGGTTGAATAGATGAGATTTTCATATTTTCGTTGTTTGCAGTAGTACTGAACTGAACTTCAGTTCTATCATCTGAAACATTGCTTTTTTTCCGATAGGACCACTGTATCCCTTCACGTTAGAACCCAAATTTGAGAAAAAGGCTCTAAAATCATATTATGTGGAAAAATAAAATTCACCGTCTGTAGATGAGATTAGGTTTCTGGGTAAAATGTCTGTTTTGCTCCAAGTACCAGCAGGTCATCTTTGAAAGAAATCCAGGTTTTATTTTTATTGGGTGTGTGACTGAAGGGCTCATTTGGTCTTCCGAATGAACCCAAAGAACATGTGACTATACAACTCAACTGATTGTGCCATAGTACACAGCGCTGTGTAAAATACAAATGGAAATGGTTCAGTCAAAACACTCACTAATTGTTGCATTTTTATCTCTTCATTTTTACTTGTTAAAAACTTGTTAAGGTCACAAGATGTGTATTATGAGCTGGACTCAAAATGGTGTCATTTATAATTTCTTTCTGGTTCATTTAAATACAGGTTCTTGGAATTAAATGCCTGGTCAGCAGTTTTGGAATGTTGTAAAGTCACTAAGTGCCCAAAAGTTAAAACTAAATTACCTGTGTACAAATCAAGCAGTTTTATCCTCTGTGTTTTAACTTCACTGCAGGCTTCATATTAAAAAATGAACAGAGATATATTGTCTGTACTGTGGTCAAATATAAACGTATACGATTTAAAATCTTGTAATTGATTTGATGTTGCATATCCAAGGTCTGTATTTTTTAATCATACACTTATGAATATTTAGGAACTGAATAGGAAGCCTTAAATATTGGAAAGGGCAGTCCCTGGACTGAGACCTGTGCTTCCAGTGTCCTGCCACTTTTCATTTCAATTTGTAAAGCTTTGTTTTCAGGAATTCATTTCTATAGTGTCCCCAAAAACTGCGCCCTCTAGTGTCGGCAACAGTGATTTTTAGCCTTTTTTTTTTTGCTAGGGGTGCTGGGACAGGCAAATGCCCTTCACAGAATTTTGTGAAGGATGTACAGGTGAAGCAAGGCCTTATGGGTAACTGCCAACCCCATTTGGTACATGTACATTCCGTGACACAAGCAAATACTCGCCAAGTGTAACCAGGCAAAATGTAAGTCAAGTCACAAGTCATTTTTTTTGCGAGTCCAAGTCAAATCCCAAAGTCCTTTGGTTCAAACACAAGGCAAGTCACAGGTCTCTTTGCCCAAGTACAAGTCGTGTGGAATTTTACCCATCTGAAATATTCAAACATGGTAAGGCATCTGCTGGACAATTTAGGAGTTTCAGACTATTAAACTTGATTTGCTTAATTAGCATACTTACACTTTATTGTTCACTTTCCACATGTACTACAGTACTTCTGGCAAAAATGGCAGAGAGTCATTTTTCTCCACAATTCCAAAAGTCACGTCAAAGTCACATAAATAGCAACTTGTATTCGACTCGAGTCCAAGTCGCATGACTTGAATCAACATCTCTGCCATCTCGGCACCCTCAGTTTGTCAGGGCCTCTGGAGCTTCCACAATACACCGTTGGAAATAAATTGAGAGAGGTTACAGATTTGTGGAGCATCCATTTAATTTGGAGTTACCACATGTATTGCATGCTCGAGTTACTTGGCCCTGAAGGGGATGTGATTTTGTGTGTTTGTTGCTTTCAGAGCATGTTGGGTCTGTGAGAGCCCACACACATACATCATATGTGTTCCCCTCCATGTCACGTCAGTTTCAATTGGAATTTCTTGAATGTATTTACATTGATGGTGATGAGCAAAAACAAAATGATTTCCTAGTTTTCAAAAATGAAGGCATGATCAAAAAATGTTCCTTCTGACTGTCTCACATCCAACTTCCTGCATTGTTTTGTGCGCGACTCCCTTCATACAGTGCCTGTCCATTCACGGTCAGGTTTTGTGTTTGTCTTTTGGTAGCCTTGTAAGTCCCACATCACATGATGCACGTTCATAATTTAAATTGGCCACCAGAAGGGTGGTTCTGTTGGTACGTCACTCAGAAAGTTTCATGACAGGACGCTTGTGAATCCCGTCTGGACCCTTTTTATGTTTTTGGCTCCTGCATACATATGTAAATACAAGAACCAAATACAGTATTTTTCAAAGACAGCAGACCATTTTCAACAAATCCCATCAATTTCCCTAGAGTGACTCATCCAATTTCGCTATATAAGAATGTTTGTTTCACATTTTTGGTCGATCAACATTAACCAAATCCTACCAGTTTAAGATCTTTATTTAATTGTAAGAAAGTACTTTTTTCTGACAAGTGTAATTCTTTGACAGACAAAGGCATTTATATATTATTTATTATAACCTAGATTTTATATAGTAGGCAATATTGTGTAGAAGGTATTTACATATCCCTGTAATATATTCCATGGATTGTTTCAATAAAAATGACATGTAATAAAACCTTTAATTGTGTGTGATCAAATTTAACGAAGTTAAATTTACTCCCCTAATTGTGTGGCTCACGGACTTTTAGGGCCAATACTGATTTTTATTATTTTTTTCTCTTGCAGTGGTAATAAGAATTTTGAGTTGCAAGACGTGTTTCTCCGATGCTGTTGATAGAAATACTAAACCTGACAAGACTCTGTAACTGGGGCGGGGCTAAACTCAAGGATGCATTCTTAGACTTGAGACGCGCATATTCATTGTGAACGTACAAACTGTGCACGAACATAGTGCCAACATGGTGAGTGGTTTCTAATTCCAGTTGCATTTCTGCAAAGCTTTTTTTCTTTTGGTCGCCACCAGAAAAGGCATATGCAAATGTCCTCCATTTTGGTGGTGTCCGAATGATTTGTCTGCAAGTTGGGAATCAGATTCTGCTTAGCGGCTGAAGCCCTTCCCACAGACACCCATGCTTACTCCAAGCCATAGCCAGTTGATTTGAACAAAACGTGAAGTCCAACCCCAGCCTCGATACCTGATTGGTGCAATAATCCAAACTGGCCCGCGGAATGAAGCACAATAAATAACCTTTTTGTTTCCACTTACACATATGCAAGCCTATTATTAACTTTATTATGTCTTTGCTGGTATCTTAATACGACACTTGCCCAGGCTTATCAACAAAAAGTTGGCATATCGCATCCAACGTGAATAATTAACATATTCTACACCTGGCTAGGGAGCTCCAAAGTTTGAAAACAACAACCACTGTTCATGACCCCCTAAAACCATGGCATACTGGGGAAATAGGAAATGTTTGAGCAGTGGAGGGAATTTTGTGGTCACCGCTCTTCATCCTGAAAGTCCTCTTTGTGGCCTATCAACTCCGTTCCCGCCATCCGGAAGACACTCCATTGGCAATATACTTTATTACCCCCAGCAGACCAATATAATCACCTCCCACCAATACCATCTGTAAGAGATTACCAGACTATAAGTAGTGACTGCACGTTTACCAGCCTCCCCCCCAGCTCCACTGAGATCCAAAACAATATGGGCAAGATGCAATTAATTATTAAGTCAGACAGCAACTTGCGCAAGTGTACGGCACTTATGAAAAACGACCTCCAATCTTCTTAAGAAACATTTTTGAAATCCTCCTTACTGTCTCAGAGCAAGGCTTCAGACTTAATTATTTCAGACAGGTTTTCAGCAAAACTTCCCATACGTGACTCAAGCTCAGCAAGCCTTGATGCCAATTCATACTAAGTAACCTTGGATGTAAAACTGTGAAGTCAGATCAAAATACTAAGCGGCAAATTTGCTAAGCTTGAACATACATGTATTTCAAAGCAAGCAAATATCACTGTACATTTTACAGCATGTCAAGTTGCCTCCGCTTACAAGTTCATTCAAGTGTGAACCAGTCTTAGTGTCAGCCACACTTGCAGCATCAACCCACTGAACACAGCGCTTCCCTACAAGGAGCAATACCAGACAATGTTGCTCGTGTCTGTTTTGACAATCTTTATCAAGAAGGTGGCTCCATGTTCTGCAACACGAAAATCTACAACTTCGATGTCCAAGGATAAAATATCTTTTAGATCAGAGTATGGTACTGTCTTTATACATTTTGGATTCCTCTCTCGTAATTTTGGTAAACATACTAGATTCTTTGGTTTTGTGTAATGTGTCTCGGTACATTATGTGCTCTATCACAGCAGACCCCCCCAAGACCCAACATTCCCATCCATCTAGGATATCCTGGATGCAGGATCAAAAGGTGTGTGGCATAAACTGGATGTCCGTTCCGAAGGTACATGACAATGTGAGGACATCCTGGGTGCAAGATTTCAGGGCGTGTGATATGAAAGGTCCACAGACTTTCTTTGAATGCCTTGAGCTGGGAGTTACCAATATTGGTGCCGAGGAACAAGGCAGAGAAAGAAAACAGCTGGAATGCTGACGAGAAAAGGCACTAGAATTGTTACGTGAACACTAATTCAAAAGAGACATTCTCCAGGAGGAAAAATTCAACAAGATGCTTTATCTAGACGACAGGCAAGCTGCTCTCAACGCACCAGAAATTCACGTCTTCAGGGCAAGATACAGGTGTGTGTTAATATATTCATTCTAATAAATAAACACCCACAACTGTTTTTAACTGTATTTCAGAGACAATACTGAACAACCAAGGCTCATGATTGGTTGTAATGAAACCAACAAGATTCCTTAAAAGTCAACTGTGCCTCCAACTTCACTTCAAGCTTGACTACGTTTGTTGGCCTTGTGAATGCTGAAATCAACTGCATTCCAGAGTTGGCTCTGTCTTGTGAGATTGGATGCTCCTGCAGCCAGAGTATGGCACTCGCATCGATTCAGAGAATCCAGAATTTGGGAGTTGAGAGTTAAACCAAGAACAGACCCGAGGGTCAAGGTTCAATGGGTGTCTCGCCACCATTCCTCAGAGCTGTCTTCATAGATCACCACCTCCTCCCCTTTGTCATCCTCGGATGATGTGTCATTCTCTGTGCCACCGGGCAGCTCCAAGAACCCCTCTGAGATGATGCGTTCCTCCTCCTCGCTCCGCGGGAAGCTCTCGACAAAGACGCTCTCCTCTAGGTCCTCGTTGAAGTCCTGGGGAATGTACAGCAGGTCTGGCCCGGCCCCACTGGCATCCAGGCCCGAGAGCTCCAGCGACACCTTGCGGAAGGCCATGTAGTGCAGGTGGGTGTCCTTGACGTAGAGCCAGCGCCGGAAGCCCAGGCTCTCCAGCGCCTTCCGCCAGCTCTTGACCATGGCCGCATTGCGGTTCTGGTGGGAGGAGTCGGGCGTGATGATCAGCAGCAGGCCATGAAGCTGCAGGAGCTGGTGGGCCTTCTGGCAGCAGATCCAGCGCTGGTAGGGGGACGGGAAGTAGGAAAGCAGGAGGGAGAAGACCACCACGTGAAACGTCTCCCGCGGGAGCACCTCCACAGGGCTCTTCAACGTTCTCAGGTATGTGTCCACGGTGTCCGGGGCACATTCCAAGGACGGCTGGAGTTGTAAATTCAGGAAGTCGCACTTGTGCACACTCTGGACAAGACAACAATCAAATTTGCATAAGTGTCAATGGAAGCTGTTGCGCACGAAAATGTGCAGAAGTTGTTAATAAATAGTTGGAGAGGGGACAGTCTTGGAGTAGAGTATCTCTTTACTCAGATTGGTCTTCAGATGCTGGTGTGACTTTTTTTTCACATTGGGGACTATACAATGTGTAAGAAACTTGACTGTATTTACAGGGAGCTACTTTTATCTTGTTCCCTGAATCCATTATATGCAATGTAATCTGTTAAATAGGGTGGTGCCAGACTTTTGGGGGTTCCAAACCTCACTTCCAGTTTCTTAAATGCGGCTTAAAACATTCAGATACAATTTATCCCAAATTTTTAAACTCTTTAAAACAAAACCTAGCATGAATTTGTAGGAATTTCTATTTCGTTGCTATTATATTTACTCTCAGGTTTCCAAAATGACCAGTTTGACCTCACTTTCATTTCAAGATGGCTGACACACGAATAGAGTCTATTTCAGATGTAGTTATTCTGCCTTACTCATTCCCAAACACTTGGCTGAGTATACATGGGACACATTGCTGCATCTCCTGCATGACCAATTCTGATTCAGTTTTGCTTACATCGACTGCTGGCGAGATGTCAATGCCTACGGAAAGAAACTCCTCGTACTGAATGAATGGGTTGAAGCAGGAGCCTACGTCGAGGAGTCTCAGTGGACCGGGCACGGGCAAGGATCTGTGGTCAGAAGGCAACAGGACGAGGAGTTCAAATGTTACTCCATTACAGAACGGTCAACACACTTGGGGTCTTGGCTGTGGAGAATGGAGACCATGCGTGTGTTCTCCACTAGTTGTGGGGAAGACCAAAACTGTTGTGGGGACTCATTAATGGCTGTGTGAGCCCCAAGCTGGACCAAGAGAGAGGGTACCATTTTCCTAGCAACAGAGGCTCCTTTGGTCAGAACTGCACCTTGCTGGCTCACGAACGACTATGAAATACATGCATTCAGATCGCATCACTACCAGCAAAATGAACACTCCCGACCAACCTGGCTCTGTTCAACCGATGAGGGCGTGCTTCTGCTCAAGGCAGACAGCACGTCGAAAATTTCCCAACAATGGAAATCTACCATAATGTCCGTCAGACGGCACATCTACACATGTGCCCTAAATTGTCTACCACTGAATGTCCTCCATCCTAAAACTTTTCTGGCAAGAACCCTAATGGATTTAGATGTCATTTTTAACTACTGACCTTCACCAGACCATGGAACCCATTGTCCCCCACAATTCTAAAGTGACAGGTTACAACTGGGTTTCCATGCACGAGTACAGATGTAATATAACGAGCACTATGTACCAGGTGCTGTGCCATTTTTTTTCGTGTCCCTGTCACATCTGACATACGATTTGTAAGTTCAGAACACATTTTGTAGTTTCCACGAGTTATTTATTAATGCAAAGTAACTGCCAGAGAAATCGTAACAGTTTGAAATCAATTCCAGTGACATTTCCATGTCAAATAACAAAGGTCAGATGTAACAGGGACACAAAAATGTCACACTATTGGACCCCTAATTTTTGGAATTACCCGTTTCCAAACCCACCTTGGCTTTCAAAACATTCTGTTCATAGTTCTTCAAACTTCCTTCACCTCTCTGTTGCTTTTACCCCCATAATTTGATGATAAACTGAGCTGACAGTCATTCAAGGTATTTTAACTAAAATTCCAAAACTAAGCTCCTCACTGGCATTGTCAAATGTAAGTGAGATGCTATTGAGGGTTTGCGTGGCTGCCATCTTACAGGTCAGTGATTTTGTTCCACGGGGTATGCACAAAGGAGGTTTCCCCGTGGAACAAAGGAACTGGCCTGCAAGATGGCTCCCACGCAAAGCCTCTATAGCTACATCAATTCCAAGGATGGTGATGACATGACTTTCAAACAGCACTCACATTGTGTTGTACTGATTGGATGAAACAGGAAGTGGTATACTGTAATCACAGTCGCCCGACCCGCCGACCACATTGCCATTCACGGAATTGGTGAGGTCACATCGCGAGGTCAGAGGTTGGGGCTCAGCCTGCTGGTGCTGTCTCCGCCTTTTGTCTTTGGCAAAGGCTTTGTTCATACCTGTCATTTAGGATGGGAGGGGGGGGTTACCGTGACGTGTGCTTCACAAGCGCCACAATGACAAGTGCACATTTTCAGTTCACGGGCTGCATGTGTTGTCGTGTATCCAAAGTTGTGGCTGTTGTGGCAAATGGACTTGTTACAAAAGGAGTGGAAGGGGGGAGAAGCTTTCCTTTCTCTGGCAAATGCTGGACCTTGGTAGAGAATTTGGTTCGAGTGTTGTTACCTGTGTTTAACTCTGTCCATATTCTGTATAATGGAAAACTTCACTGTATATAAAGAAGCATTTCCACAGACCATAAAATGAACCCTAAATCACAATTTCTTTTTCTTAGAACAAGTTGAAGCTTAAACAATCGAGCCATCATAAAAACAGACAGACAGGCAAAAAAACCCAATTTAGGTTAACTTTCCTTTTTTCATTTTATAAATGACAACAGCCTGGACTCCACATCTATAACATCATCACATTTGAAGAAGCTGGACACATTTCAAAAAAATGTTCTGGACTCGGGGGGAAAAAACAAAATTCTGCCGTACCTCCACGAAAGAAGTAATCCCTGCAGGCCCGATGGCACCACTTGATGCGGTCGTCAGGGTGCTTGGTGGACCAATGCTCGGTGGCCAAATGCTGCATGGCAAAGGCGTACTCATCCAAGCTTGCCTCATCCTCGCAGTGTTCCAACCAGATTCGTTCATAGTCGCCGTCCGCTGCAAGGGGAGAAGAAAGGACATCATACATCACTGTGGATGTGCATCTTCTCTGGTCTTCAGGCGTCGAGTCATAGTAAGCCGTGTCCAGTACCTGATGCAATCTGCTCCGTGCAGAAGCACCCCCTCATTGGCAAAGATGAGAGAAGCTCGAGGAAACTGGTTAAACTTGGCAAATACAAACATGTATTCATGTAGCGCACACATGATGACTGTAAATTCCTACCGAAATCGGTCACACGTGCAGCCCAACCTTCAAGGGACAGTTTGTTTTCATTGAAAAATTCAGACTGAGTTGTTGGGGAAAAAGTTGTTCCCATAACAAATTTCTCCCCAGAACAACTATCATTCAACACGTGTAGTCGCCGAACCCGGCAAGGGGAACAAGCGGATCTCTTATTCCCGCCAGAGTGGATAACCACAGGGAAAGGATAAGATGTCACTCTATCATAGTCCTTGAGTTATCAGTAGGTACGCACATGCATGTATGTGCATCTACGTACTACTGGGTTAACCTCTGCCTGCATGCTTGTTTGGACTGCTCGAAGAGCCGTGGGTCCACCCAGAGAAACCTATTTCGAACATTCTTTCAAAAGCTCTAATTGGCTGGTGGGTAGGAAAAATAGTGGTTTGGAGATGGCTGCAAATGTATGCCATCCTGGCAAACAGTAACTGGAATAGAACAAAGTCACATCAGGAGGAACTCCAGTACGTATACAAGGTTTTGACATGACACCCCCCCCTAGTTTTAACCCTTCATGACCCTTGAAGATATGACTCAATACTTTTGCTGAAGGAGTTAGTAAAACAAAGGGCAAGTAGTTACACTCCCTGCAACAACTCACTGCACTCACAGGTGCAGGAAAATATTGTCTTCATCCTCGGATCACGCAGCATGCACAGTCCAAATTTCTGGCATCTTGAATTAACCACGTTATGCAAGTGTACACTCCAAGTTTGCTCTGGAGTATGCTCTCATTTACATGTACTCGTTGGTCATACTCCTGGTGTTTATAGACTCGGGAGCCATCCGCTTGTTAACATGAGTAACATGCTCAAATGTACCCTGGGCCTATACATGTCTTCTTATTTGGCCCTTCAGAATGTGTCAACACCATTCTTTATTACGTGATTAATGAACACTTCAAAACTCTCCACGTGAGCAAATCTATTTGGATTTGTTGTGCTGTGCACATTGGATCTGAAATGTGTGATTTGGGCACTTTCAAGAAAGAGTGGATATGCAGTCATACTGTTGGCAGCCTCACCACAGGTAATTCTTCAACAGAAAGAGGTTTTGAAAAGACACCAAAAATTGGAAATGATAATTAGTATCATACCCCTTTAATTCCACTTTCACTTTTTTGAGACAAAATTGGCTTTCTGTTTATAAATCATGATTAATAATGAGGTCAGTAACAGCGTAGCCCAACTTCCACTTTTGCATGGAATTGCCCGTTCAAGAAAAGGAAGGGTTAAAGCATCCATGACTATCCGTTGCCAAATTCCAGGCCATCTGTATGACATCCAGGCTAGAGAGCCATACATGCCATTTTAGGGACCGTAACCAAGCAACAAACACTTCCACAAGTATGTTCCCCCCCCCAACAGGAAAAGGATGGGAGGGATAATGTCTGCCACATGGGCACGTGTGCCGCCTTCAAAAGGCATGCACACCGACCCAGCAGTTTCGATGATGTTCCGACCAGAAGGCCCTCTTTAGATGTTCCGCAGAAAAGATATCCCAATTTGTAACCACCCTGCAAACCATAAGGCACAAGTCTCTGTGATGCTTGTTTCTCTTGATTTGGAGCTAGAGTTTCGGCGTCATTTTCATGCGTGCATGTCAGGAAAGCTGTTCCACCTCATTCTATGATGGAATACATTTCTCCACGGGCATGACAATGTGGGGAGTCAGGGTTCGGGTAAGATAGATATTCAAAATGAATAATTTCGCTTGTGATCGTCCAATGCAGGGCGATTTTTATAAAACTTAATAACAGTATCAAGGACATGAGGTACACGGGGCAAGATTGATTGCATCAGACAGACGCATGTCAGTATACAATGTAATATAAAAAGCATTCTCACTCAAGATAACTACCAAAACAAGAGGTAGGAAAAGTAACAGACGAAGGCCAAATGCTTCATGATTATTGGTATAATTGATAATTAATTGCTACAATTTTGCTGTCTTCAAAGCTGGAGAAAAGAACCAAAGGTCAGTTGTTGGGATTAGGAAATACCCATTGCTGTTTGCGAAATGAGCGTGAGCGCCAGTGAGTTTACGATCACTAAATGCGACTTCAGTTCACCCACTTTGAAAAGGGAAAGGTCGGCTTAGTCATGGTAGCAAATGCTGCAATGTTCCAAGAAAATTGCAAAATGCGCAGGAGTTTACACCAACAGCAAGGGATTAGTTGCAAAAGGCATTTCAACACCCAAGGGAAAGGGTTGTAAGATGAGCCAGATTACATGTACAAGTCGATTACATGCACTGGTTTGGAATGCCTCGTTTGCTTCTGGCGTTTGGACGCTGTCTTTCAGTCCCACTTCATTCTGTGTTTACTAAGTGAAAAAAGTTGAAAGCCTAACAGAGGGCCTGGCATTTCAATCCCAATAGAACTTTTGTAAAAGGAAAATGGACCTATTAGTATGTGAATGTAGGGTTCTCTTTTAGATCTGTATTGCAGGTGGTAAAGAGTTTCCAGTTTGCGTACTTTTCATTTCCAATTTTCCAAATTCTTTCAACTCTGATCATTCCCAATTCTTTTTTCACAAGATTCCATTTAAGAAATGACACTCAAAAAGAAGTTTTAGTCCTCCTGACAAATCTACTGGGAATTCTACTAAGAGTTTACGCTTCATTTGATGCTATGGCTCATGCCGTTACCGTCCCTACAAGTACATTTTTAACCTCTGGTATGACAAAAGCATTTGATTTCCTGGCACAACATGGATGCTTGTGGCCTTAGGGTTGGGGTTTGATTCCAGCTGATGGTTACATGTCGTGGCCCTTGGGCAAGTCACTTTACTCCTACTGGCCTCTCTCCACCCAGGAGTATACATGGGTGCATGTGACAGTAGAGATGGGTGTTGTGTTTGATTGGCTGTTTGTGCCAGAAATGGCAACACTGAGCTGACTGTGCCATATTGAGCAGGGATAATGTGAAGAAGCGCCGTGTCCTCTGGGAATTTGGTCCTATTTCAAGACAGTCTCTCATTATTCTGTAGTTATGACTGAGTCTGTAAACCCTTTTATCATCAAAATGAGGCAGCCCTCTACTCCTTTAAGTTTCCTGGGTTCTTAATCACAACTCAGCCGACTACGTGAGACCTGTGCTGCAGGTTCTGACACCACTGCTCCAAAAGCAAACAGTCCGGAGTGTTACGACTCTCACAACAAAACATGCAAACCAACGAGTTCCCCCCTGAACTTAATCCATCTCCTCTCTTCCGTCACTGGCAAATCAGGAAGAGGCTCGTGTAAGGGACAGCATGGGATATCGCCTCTCATTACTTGCGACAAACCAGCTTTCGGATGACAGCATTAGCCTTCAAGTACATGAAAAGTAAGGAGCAACTCACTCGTGTATCACTGAGTGACCCCACATGTAGAGCCCAAATTTGTTGCAATTACATTGAACTTTATATCCAAGCTTCTATGATCATAGAACTCGGCAAGAGAAACACTGTCTCTTCATACATACAAAAGGATAAACGCGGAGACACAAAACATCCCGAACAAACAGACAAAAGGAAACTTACGATCGAAGTAATAGGTGACCCTACGCGGGCAAATAAATGATATCCAACTCAACATGCTGCTGTCCAGTAGGTTGCTGCGACAATCCAGAGCTACATGTACATCTACAAGCTGTGTCAGCCCTGCATAACCTTTCACGTCAAACGCCACCCAACTACATCATGTATAGGCCTATATATACACTCGTATGACTGGTTCCCCCCCCTCCCACATTTATCACCCAATAAGTGAACTTTCGTCTTTACTTTTTTTTTTATTGGCAGGCTAGGACATTTATTATGCTAAATACAGCCAAGTGGCAGGGTTTCCTGTTTGAATCAATCTGTGTGTGTGAAGGGGGGAGGGGGGAGCTTGGGAAGGGGGACCCTGGGACTTGACTCCGGAGAGAGACAGCTATGTGAGTCTGGCGTGGAGCGAGGCTGAGCGATGGGCTGATCTTCAGGGCCCAGGGTATTCCAATGTGGTGCCGGTTTGCTAGCAAACAACTTCCACATGGTTTGACAAGTCCTTACATCCAAGAGCAAGCACACAACTTGTCATGTAAATCTCTCAAATCCATGGCTGGGCGATCTATAAATAGGTGGCAAGTCTTTGTTGGATACAAAAGGGGGGGTGACCTCTTCTATTCTACTGGGAGTGGGATGACGTTGCAAGCTGCTTTATAATATTATAAATATATGTGCTGTGTTCTAACAAGAGTTTGGATTTTGGGCCTAGAATCCTTCCTTAGAAACTATTCCTTTCCAAGTTTCCATTTTCCACATTATTTTTGTACACTGAAAAATCCTAGGTTTCTTCAACTTCTAAACAAAGTTGGTGAGTTTCCTGGAAACTAATTTTAAAAGAGGTTAATACTGGATAATTTGCTCAGTTGTGTTCCAGTTCATGACTGACAACACAATTTTCTCTGCAATGATATGGCTGAAATGTATTTCAAATTTACACCAGCAAAGGCCTTTTGTTCACATTACTCCATCATACTGGAAAGAGGGTGCATAGGGCATTTGTTCCGTCGCACGATAGCTTCATCAACTGAAACTCTGTGATTTCATTTCTGTGAGAATACAATAATTTCGACGAGTGCTAAGTCACTGAAGATCTGTTTTTTTCATGGCTCAAAATACACGCACTGTGACCTTTGCCAATTAGCTTATCACAACAAATACTCTCTTGACTAGAAACAAAAGACAAAGCCACTTGATTTCCTGCCCCGCCCTAATGCAGTTAGTCACAA